GCTTGCGCTGGTCTTGAAGCCTTCAGCAAATTGCCTAACTTTTTGACAATATTCTCTGATAACTTTCTTATCCGTCAGCATGCCAAGCCCTGCGTAATATTGTCTTTCAGTCTCTCCCTTTTTTTAAAGAAAATATTTTTAGCTTACCATTTTAGCTCCCTCTATATTTTGGACCCCCTCAACTCCGTTTATCTCTGCGGCAGAGATACATAGTGAACGGGAAATGGAACCACAGAGGTGTGTAAGTATCTTGGCTGGTGGTCTGTGTCGTCGATATTTGGTCCTCGATTTTAGGTCCATCTACCACACTGGAGACATGACCTATGTCTAATACCTCACTGATTTGTTTTTTTCTTCGATATGAGGAAAACCATGCAGCCTGGAAATTTCTTGTATGTCGAAGCTTTATACTACCATGTTTAGGACCCCGGAGAACTCGATCAGCCTCAAATCAATATCGGTGTTTTGTCAGGGAAGTTGAATACGTATTTTGATAATGGGACAAAAAATCCCTTCCTTGCACTACCTGGCGTTAAAATTGCTTAGAACTATCTTGATTTCGTGGCGGAAGTAGGGCTCACATTTAAATCCACTCCAAGCGTTTATAGAAGATGTATTTGGATGTTTTGTCTTTCTATTCCATCGTGGCAAGGGCGCCAATGAGCGAGATTTTGAGTAATCTTTCTTTGATGTGAATTGCAGCGAGCCACCAGTTCTAAGGATTTGCCACACTCGGTACTCAATATAATGAGGACACATAACATATAAAAATATAAGCTTTTTTTGAAAAGTGGGTCGAAACTGTTTAGTGCGCCTCTTCATACTAGGCATGTAACACTAAGTCAACATAACCACAAGTTTACGTAGTACCCTCGATAAGCTAACGTACCATTATTTTTTCATCAAATGGAGACGAATTTTGAGAGCGAAATAAAAGATTCTTATTTTCTAAATATTTGTGCGAAAAATTGCTACTAAATGTGAGTTAGATCTCGACTTTGAAAACGGCCCTAGGAGGAGGATTTAGTTGAAACCCATTGAGAATGGATTTCAAGAAGTGTCTGAAGTATCAAATTACCAAACAATTTCAGAGAATTATTAAGCAAGTGCACAATTGCAACAAAGAATACTTGCCTCAAATGTCCAAGCCATACAGGAAACACTCTGCACTACTTGTCCCGGCCATGAGGTTACCCAAACGATACGTTCCACCAAAAAGTAATCCTCCCAGGCTAATTTCATTTGTTCCAACACACTCGCCAGCATAACATTTTCGACTTCCTTTAACCAGATTTCGACAAGACCCTACCGGATAAAGAAGTTATTTAAAATATCAAGACATACATGTGTATGTATGTATATGGAAAACAATTTTACTGACATTCGCCAATGCTGGATTAATTTTGCGCACCATCTTCACTTGCTCATCTTCATCGGATATCATTTCAATTATTTCCATAGCATCATCGAAGGTGAGACGTGCGATCTGTGAATCAAAAAACCAAATGCTTACAATCGCAATTTATTTTTACATGCCGTTATGCATAACTTACACCCTCGAAACATTTGCTCAAATGCGGCTGTACACGCAGTGGATCCTTTGTCTCAGAGAGTATCTCCAACAGTTCATCATTGGATAGAAAGAAGAAGCGCGCGAAGTATAGACGCTTCTGTTCGAGATAGGTATTCAAACCCTTTTGAACCGTTTCAAGATCTTGCACAGCTTTCAATAATGTCTCAAGCATATCTGGATATTCGGTGGCCACCAGTACATGCAAATCTTCACAGGAGTGTTTCATAATTTTGCGCCATGTTTTGTCGACCTACAATTAAGTATAGCATTTTTTTTTTTATAGAGCGCACTTGAAAGCTGATACTTTTGAGCTTTTATCTTCGCAATACAAATTAGCGTTCATTTAGCTTTTAGTTCGCTTACCGACTTGAAATTGCGTCCCTCCACCGGCATTTGTCGCATAATATCTTCTGAACTGAATATTGGCTCTAAATACATCCATGTCACTTGCACCTGCGTCCACGCATCGATGATATTTTGTATCAACAAAAGTTTAGCCTCCCAATCATCCGCCTTGGAGCCTAACGCTACAATGAAAGGCGAACGTTTCATCGCTTGTGTACGCATGATATGATCATCTAATTGAGTTTGTATATCATCTAGTGAGGAAAGTATATGCGTGTCGGAATCACGATACGGCAACACTTCGAATTGTATATCTTTCCAATCGCCCTGCATGGCATCAAGCGCTGAATTCAATTCAAACTCTTTGCCAGCTGCATTTGAGATCTCCTCAAGTTGTTGCAGTATACTCATTATATTAGCGTCGATCATATCTTTGAGTGTGGGATATAATTGTGGATTACATTCGGTACCCAAATGGCCAGATATGAGTTTCCAATGACGTTCGTTGAGACCTTGGCGACAAATGGCATCGAGCACTGGTAAATAAGCGCGAAACTTTTCGACTTTAATGCGTATCTGTTCGGCGGCGCGGCGTGCAGCTGGATTGTTGGCCAGTTGGCGGGAAAGTTTGTAAACGATCTGCGGCAAGTAGTGAAAGAAATAAAGAATAAATTTATAAACGAGGTGAAGAAAGGGCTTGACTTTATTAAATGTACTCTTTCATTACTTTCACTTGCCTTATGCATATTTTCAACCTCATCACGTATTGCATCTGCATCTAAGAATTGGAATTCTCCATACATCCTGTGATAAAGGAATAGAATATATATTTCGAACTTACAAATGCTACATACTTATAGTTATGTATGTATAATACTAACCATAGCTGGTAATTCTTTTCAAATTCATAGGCGGTTTTCCACAGTTTTTCCATTGGCTCCATTTTTTCAATGATTTCGGCCAGCACCGGGAATGGCGAAACATCGATTTGCAGCAACTGTTCCTCCACATTTATACCTTTAGCCTCTCGACTCATATTCTAAAAGTGCCAAAAAAAAAAAAAATAGTTTTCTTTAGTTTGAAAAAAGTATATTACTGCCATGGAAAATCCTCTAATATAAGTGCTTTCCGATAGGAGGCGGCATAAAACCATATATGAAGCTCAGCCGAACATTTGGCAAATGTGTGTCGATTTTTTGTATATATCTCACCGATCTACTTAGCTTATACGTATAACCGTCTATTTTACCTAAACAATTTTCATGTTACTATTAAAGCTTGAATTTTATTTGATAAGCGTAAACTAACGTTTTCACGTTTAAAAAATGTGATAGCCTTCACAAATGCTCTCCAATAGCTGATGCATTGGAACAGCCATTTTCTGCGTTTCACGCCAATGCCTATATTGAACAGAATTGCAGAACTGACGAGCTGACTTGTTCTTGAAAAAGAGATAGACATGCCATAATACTCAGACACTTTGTACATCAGAAAAATAAATTGGCTTTGCTAGACGTAACATACAGTTGTTTAGTCCGTAAGGGACTTAACGCAACTTCATCCTTTCGTAAGTGGTTTTAGTGCTTTATACTGAAAACTTTTCAGACTGCTGGGACTCGTTGGGCACCGGTGTATTATCTACTGCACAGCATGCTTTCCTAAAGGGGCGCTTCACAGAATCTGCGCTCCAAGAGGTTGTACATAAGGTAGAGTATACGTTGGCGGCTTTTCTTGGACGCAGAAGGAGCGTTCAAACACGTCAGACTGAAGGCGATAGAACAATCACTTAGCAAGCTACGGATTGAGAACTTCCTGGTAGACTATGTAGATTTCAACCATGCTTGATACAAGAATTGCAAACGCTAAGCTAGGCAACAGAGATGGGATCAAAAAGCTTTCGCGTACGCGGAAAATAAAGTATTTCAAAGAGCACATGGTCAGCCAGCTGCGGGTTCAACGTAAGCCCCTAGAAGACCGAACAAATATTGTTTACTACAAAGCGATAGATTCCTAACTTTAACGTAGCTTTCTTGAACGGACAAACTCTTATGCTAAGTGATTAGGAGTCATTCTCGCACCAAAATTAAACTGGTAAACGAAAACAGAACACCGAGCTAAAAAGCCATTTGGTGCTTTGTATTATTGCAAGAAAAGGATAGGTAAGAAGTGGGATTTAGGCCCTGATAGAATGCTACATATGCATGTACACGGTGGTGATCCGCCCAATTACTGCATGTTGAGCCGTCCGTAAAAATAGATACGACTACCAAATTCGGCGAGTGTTTTTCAGGCAGAAGTCTTTGACATCAGAGCTAGCAGGGACCAGTACTGCTATATTTTCTGATAGCCAGGCGGTAATTAAGGCCCTCAGCTCCAAAAGTACTCCCTCCATCATGATAAAACAATGAGGAGAGTATGTTACGGCTACAGCTAATAGTCATGTCGTTGCACTGATCTGGGTGCTTCAAAATATACGATTCAAATGTTGAGACAACAGTCTCTTTCCTCGTTTTTCCTATGGGAAATATAATATTTATTTGGCTGTTAGGACACTACCTAAGAACGAAGACGCCGTACAGTATGCTATGATTTTTTTAATGTCCTGAAAAAGGCGTTTGTTTCAGTGATGACCGCTTCATGCGACCAAAGTGTCTTACCACCGGCACAGGTTTGAAAACAATATTCGCATGGAAGGTAGGGAATGAAGAGATATACCCCTCTCTAATTTAAGTCGGTCACAAAAAAATGATCCCAAACCCTTGACACGAGACTTTCTACGCCACTGAATCCGACCATTTAATCAGGTCCTCTCCCGACGAACGAAAACCACACTCTACAGGTCACTCATCATGGCCGTGCTGATATATGGCGCAGAAGCATGGTCATTTCAACATCCGATGAGCCGGCTCTTGGTGTATTCGAGAGAAAGATTTTGCGGAAGATTTACGGGCATTTATGTATGTACGAATGAACATGGACGCTCCAGTTCTGAAAGTATATTGAACTCGGATTCTGTTGGTGGCAGTAGAGGAAGTGAGAGACGCCCACTGCGTTGATAAGACCAAGTGAAGAAGGACTTGGCTTCACAAACAAGGCTACGACCTAAAAAGCGACTAAGCTGGGAAGTGAAATACCAATTTTTTTTGCGAAACAAGTTTATTTTATTAAAAAAATCTATGGCTTATCAAATTGTTTTCGTATTTTTTACTTACTTTTCAGAAAAGCATTTCTAACTACATACATTCTACAACTCACCTCAATAATCACGTAAAGTTCATCGATCGTATCGACACGTTCTTTCAATTCCTCGAGTGTCATAACTTCACGAGTTTCTTTTACTCTAAATCCATCCATGCGACGTTTTTCATTCAAAATGAACTCTTCGAATTTTTTACGACGTTCACTAAGGGGAAAAGGATATACATAAAGAAACATGTACATATGTATTTAAGTATAGTATGTATTAGTGTTCGTGTATGTGTGTCATCAGCGCGATAAGCAATGTTCATGATAAACTCACTAATGAACTGTATTTTAAGCAAATGCATGCATATAAACAATTTCACACTTGCTCATATCACTCATTATGCGAAGTTGATTAGATGTGTTTGACAGTTTACCAACAACTAAAAGTTCATAAATAGATATACATACATAAGTATGTATATGGGTATACTCACCGCAATGCCATTTCCAAATTCTCACGTACAACATTCAAACGTGCTGAGCTTAAGTCCAATACCTCTTCCAACTCGCCGGGCAAAATAAAAGTGCGTGAATTGAGATGAATGTGATCACCTGTTGAATAAAAAAAAGTTGGTTGGTTTTTCGAATTTCATGATAGAAAATTAATATCAGATGAGAAGTTCTTTGATACATATAAAAATATACTAGTGTGTATATAATCGTAGACACAGGCGAGTTTATGTTTTATATAAATAACTGACTGTGATATATGTATCTATATGTATGAACTTACTATGCACTAATTGTCAGCCAGTCATATCCTCGTTTTATAAACTTGCTTGACAAGGTAATTAATTAGATTACAAAAAAATGTATCTTAGTAAATTTAATGATATCTTTTATGACACCGATGAAATGGATGTTCTCAGACCTACATATGTATATGTACACTTGTGGTCAGCTGTTTAAGTCAAGTGACGTTTTGACTAGATTTGGCCACTTTTCTTTTGTCTATTTAATATTTACATCTTTTTTATAAAAGTTTAACATTTTACCTAACCAGCGCCACAAAAATCCATATTTCAAACTTACAAAATCTATGAAAATTCAACAAACTTTAACAATTGCACACAAAAATTTATTTTTAGAATTTCTAGAAAAATTATGTGTATGCAGTTCTGTAGCTCATTAAATTTTAGTAGGTTGAAGTGCAAATTTTAAGACGCTAGAAAATCGCGTTGATTTTTAATAATTTTTGTTGCCGATGGTGCATACTTTATATGGAAAAAAATGTACAACACCGTCAAAAAAATTATTAAAAACTCGTACTGCATAAAATTTTAAATTTTTGGTTGCAATAGTTAAAGTTTGTTGAATTTTCATAAGTTTTAAACGAGGCTTGAAATGTGGATTAATGTGGCGCTGGTTAGGTAAAGTACTAGAACTTTAAAAAAATATAAACCTTAAATAAACGAAAGTAAAATAGCCAAAACTAGGCAATATATCGCTTGACTTAATCAGTTGCCCATAATTGTATACATATGTATGTATACATGTAGATAAGGTACATTCACACTAATGACTGTATTAGTAAATGCCAACAACATAAAAACACTTATAATTGCAATGGGTCACTCCATTGTGACGGTTGTGACCATGGTACTCACACTTTTGGTTATAATTCAAAACTGTAAAATTAATAATTAAAAAAAAAGGGTGGGATTCCTAAGGTTGTAAAGTTGAAAAGCGTTTAATAACAGGTAGATACCGAAGGAATACGATTTCTGCTCAGAATGTGCTTTTTAATCAGATTTTTTAGAAATTTTTGAAGTATGCAGTTTTGCAGCCCATAAAATTCTAGTAAAAAAATGCAAGTTCGGACTAAGTCAAAAATCGCGTTGATTTTTGAGAATTTTGTTTGTTGAAGGTGGTTTGCATTTTTTCCAAATAAAGTATTTTCGAAAACAATTTTTTGCCTGGAAGAGACTGCGTGAAAAAAGGTAAAATCAAAGGTAATTCTTAGCCACTTAAAACTTGCACTCTGATTAAAGAGTTGAAAATTTTCATGAAAATTTGCTGAATTTTCGCGAGTTTTGCACAAAGTTTAGAAATTATATTTTTATGTTTTTTTGTTGTAGAATGAACCATAATTTTATACGAAATTAGCGGAAATATATTAGAAGGAAAATTTTGCGTATATTGCGAAAAATATGCTATGCCAATACCTTGTTCCGGCAGTGTATATATTTTTGAATTTCAATCAGCAACATAGTAAGGTGCTCGTTTGGCATTCTATTTTTGTTAATAAGAAAAGTATTTTATTATAAAAAAAATTTCATTTTCTTTGAAAGCTAGCTCGAAAGATATGAGCAAAGTTACTCAGCTTTCCATAAATTTTTTATGAGTAAACAGTAATTACTCAGGATCTGATTAATCAAAATCTGATTAATCATGTTTTTTTATTAATCAGGCTTATGATTAATTAAAAAAAATTTTTAATCGATTAATCGCACATTCCCACTAAAGACTGATCCTAATCGAAATCAATCGTTATACTGCTTTTTAATCCAATTTGACAATGCGTTTTCACTTATTTGACGACAAATGACATTGAATTTGATATAGTGAAAACACGCCTTAACGCTCAGTTCACTTACTGTTATTTTTTGTAATCACTAATCAAATTAAACTTTTACAATTTGCTTTTCTATCGACTGCCAAGGGGTAATATTTATGTACATATGTACATAAGTATATACATATTCATATGTATGTATTACAGGCAATGTGTTTTGTAAAAGTTTGTGCAACTCTGTGGAAAGGAGTTCAACTTGTATAGAAACTTTTTAATGCATCGCATCCGCATGCTTCAGTAATGCAAGCTCATTTAGAAAACTTTGTATGCACTAGAGGTGACAATCTCGAAGCACCGTGAGCAGGAAATCTATCTAATCTAATATTTACGCAAAATTTGCGTATTTAAATTTTTTTTTCTGCGCAAGTATAAAATCAAAGTGACTTGGAATTCAGATAAGAGGAGTCGAACCTCCGATCTCGCGGCTAGTTTACTCCGCAATACTGTCGTCTATCAGGGTACAATTTTGATCAGATCAACTACGCCGTTAATCCACATTAACGCTGCCGCCTACCTATGCTATAAAATTTTATCAATCTGTTGGTTAACCTTAAGTTTAAAATTAAATTGGCATAGGGTCCTGAATTGTTTTGGCTAATACTAAATGCAGGTATTTTAACATTTCTATATCAAGAGCAATCCCGGACATTTGGTAAATTTCGGGACTACTAGCTTTTGTTGCATTGCATTGTGAGAAGCACACACAAATTCCATCACTTTGCGTTCAGATGTAAATAGATAACTAAATATCCCGTACTTATATGTGTATTAACTCAACTTCTTTTCTGTTTAACTAAACAACTAATCTACTATACTTACTATCCAATATTGTATGTGTTAGCAGGAAAATTACACGTCGCGACACTATTTTAATTTCATCCTTTATTGCAAATATTTTCTCATCACGGCACTCGGTTAAGTAGTTTTGCAAAGCGACCACCTCTGGTGTCTCCTCCGGTCGTTCGCCAGCTTTCATGGACATTTCCTCTAGTGCATCGCAAATGCTATAACAAATAAAACAAAGTAGTGATTTTTATTTTGTTTCGAAGTCTGCAGTTATAAGTTAATTTACTTTAACTCATTAGAAGAAATACATAAGCATTTATTGCACTTGTTGCGAATATCTTTCACTTACGCGCGATTTTCATTTATATTCACAGCTTTGTAGTAGTCAATGACGAAATTGTAAACTTGTTGTACCAGCATTACAATGGTGTTCTTCACATGCCGATTGTCCAACATGAAGAGATTGAGCGGTATAAAATCACGTAAGATGTATGTGCTATGAATAATACCCCTCAAACGTCTCATTAGGTCTTCGACAAGCTAAAAAAGAGAAACATGGGAATTTAGTAATTGTGTCGGACTTTCTGCTTTAAAGGCGCTTTCTCCAATTCTTTCTTTATTTGACATCCTATTCTTTGAAAATACACCTCCTGATCTGCTTAATAAAGCTTTAAAAGGGAAGGTCCTGCCTAAAAGTGTTGACTAATAAGAGTTTCTCATTTTGCCGACTAGTTTTATGACCGAAATAACGTAGTAGTATATATAGATATTTTCCTGTAAGAATTTACCATTGCAATTTAATTCATCTTTCATCTTGGCTGCTCGAATTTCCAAAGATTAGTCACATTAGTCAAACATTTCCGGGTAAACAAATTCTATAAGGGTAAGTGGAAAGTTCACCGATTTTTTTTTTTTACATTTCCATAAAATCGATTTTCTTTCTCAGAATATTAAAAAGATGAAAATTATTTTAAGAAAAAGTAGGAGTAACAAAAGCTAGAAGAAGGCCGCGAAGTTAGGCCTGAAATTCCGAGGGAATAAACATATAATTTCTAAATCCAGCTTCAAAAAGGCTATCCTGCTCCCACTGGTAAGGACGGTTCGGACGGAGTCGCGGTTGAAATATCGAAGGCATCCGACACGTGAAACTATGTGAGCCCCTGCTAACTAGACTTATCGCGTGCAGATCGGATGAAATATCTGCCGTTAGTTACATTCCACAAAGCTAAGTACAAGCATCGTAGAATTAATTAGGAGTCTTCTAAGGCGACGATATCTTCCTAACATTTCCCAAGATCCAATCGGAATGAACTTAGTGAGTAGTGCAAACTATTGTAAAATCATGTCGATGGGCCGAAACATCGACAGCCTTTCTAGTAAAATAATTTTTCTCAGCGCATACCTCCGCCTCTTGCACCTCCAATCCGGCGATCTGACATTCGAGTACTGTGGACTGTGACCATCGTTCCATATTTTATGCCAAAAAGGTTTTTAGTGAGCTGGACCGATTGGAAAATACCCCCAAAAATGTAGTTATTTTATGAATAAAAATAGTTTCTCAAAGGATTTTTTGGAAAAAAATCCCCTCAGATGACAAAACAGCTTAAGCTTTAAAAATCGGCATAAAAATATTTAAAAATCTTTTCAACAGAATCGTAATAATGAGATTTTGGATGCTCTTTTTAACTTTTTTCAAAGATTTGTTTAAGAAACACTTAAATAACTGGGCCAAAACTATATCGATATAGACTTGTGAGGTATTTGCTCACTCTTTTTATTTCATTGCAAAAAAAAACTCATTTATATCCCGCTTTTTTCTTTATCAAATACCAAAACATCTTAACTCAAAATGGAATGAGGCTCGTTTGTCCAAAATAAAATAAAAAGCGTGAAAAATCCCTTTCCAATGATACCTCATAAGTATAAATCCGTATAGTTTAGGCAGAGTTATTCAGGTTTATTTCTTTAAACCAGTCCTTGAAAAAGTTAAAAAAAATCATCAAAAATCTCATTATTGCGATTTTGTTTTTTTTTTAAATATTTGTATGCAAATTTTTTAAGCTTAAACTGTTTTGTCATCTAAGGTAATTTTTTGCAAAAAATACTTAAAAAACTGTTTTTATTTACAAAAACTCAGTTTTTGGAGGTACTTTCAAATCCCGGTGGAAAATAGTACCGTTTATTTGTAAGGGGAGTGATGCAGTCTAATGTGTATATTTACATATTTGTGAAATTAAAAAAAGTACTTACAAATTTCAATCAATTTGTCATGCTGCAGTGAGTAAATTTGTGTACAGTAAATTTTTGCTGTAAATTGGAAAATTAACCATTAATAATTTTCAACTCGCTGCCCTATGATTGCGCAGCTTTAGTAAACATTATTTACTCATTCGTCTCTTTGACGCCACTTCCATAGTCCTATTACAAAATACGTATGTATGTATGCGTATTCAAATCAGGTAAATATGTTTTGTATACCCTTAATGAAAGCATTTAAATTTTAGGCTGCGTCATTGGTAGCTTAAAGTGAAAAGTTGCTCTTAGGAATGCCTTTTTTGAACATTTTTATTTTTAAATATGTGAAATGTAAGGANTTGAAAATCTCATTATGCATGAATTTATACAAACAAAAAATGTGCAGCATCAGTTTGCAAAAAAAAAATAGTAGGGGGAAAAAATTATGTTGAAACTTGGCAACTTAAGGTTTAATGTTCTGCTTAAAATATAATTAACGTCCATTGTGTTCATCAAACAACAAATATTTGACTTTAATTTTAAAGCGCTGCAATTATTTTGCTGAGCTGTTCAGATATATAGCAGGGAATAATGTACTTATCGATGGTCCTGTGCAATAAAGACACAATTCACAATTAAAAAAATAAAAACTGTTACTACTGTTAAGTGGCTCATGTCTCTAATCCTTGTCGAATTTATGTCTAATATTTTGTATTTACTTCAGCATTGCTTCCTGCTTATTTTAGCAAGGGATGGAAATGGATTAGACAACATAAAGTTAAAAGATATACTTCCGTACAAATGTATGTTACCTCTATTAAATTTCATCTTTTTGTAACACTTGAACGTCACATATTTAAGTACATAAATATTTTATAGTCGACTAGGATAGGTAGGCTTGGATTAGGTTTCAAGAACGGTGGCCGTCTCGTCTCTCATAGGGACAGAGCCCTCCCTTGCGATCGCACCCAGCACAATCAAGGAAGAACTCACGAAGGAGATAAACAAACTCAGAGAATAGCACTGACGCAACACTTCAGGTCTACGCCAGGCTAAATGCTTACTAGGAGGCTAAAAACCTACAACATACAGGGCAATTACATATAAACCTTTCCAAAGAGAGGCGAGGGATATTAAAAAGTATTCTGACAGGACACTGTAGACTAAGAAGTCATTTGCATAAGCTGATTATCTTGGCGAGCGACCAATGTATGTACATATTTCGCTTCTGTGATTCGTCCGAGGAGATTCTATTACACCTGCTTCGCGAGTACGAGGCGGTGAAAAGAAGACAACTGAGGTATCTAGGCCAAGTGTTCAAATCATACAGTCGTTGACCCCTGGAGACCTATTCAAATTTCTGGGAGCTATCGGGTTGTATGAGGTACTACGAAATGGTTGAGGGAACAATAGACCTATCTATCTCGGGTTAAGTTTAACAATCCTGAAAGAGGATGCAATTATTTACGAGTATTTCCTCAGGTTAGAAAAAACCGTATCGTGTTCACCTTCTTTAATTTTGATAAACCATCTGCATAACTACGAGTACACAAGACTATATTTGCTTGATAGTTAAACTATGTACTCGAACGCATCACACATATGCGACGGGTGTTAACCAAGGGTTTTCCCAGAACGGGTTTTAGGTTCTTTTGAAATCGAGTTTCAGGTCTTCTGTAACCATTTTTCGGTTATATTGGAATCGAGTTCTCGGGGCATCCGGAATCGTTTTTTGGTTCTTTTGGAATAGAGTTTCGGTCCTTCCTGTTTTTCCGGAACAGTTTTTCGTTTTTTGTTTTTTTTTTGAATCGAGTTTCGGTTCTTCCGCAACCGTTTTTGGTTCTTTTAGAATCGAGTTTTGGTTTTTCCGGAACCGATTTTCAGTTGTTTTGGAATCGATGCTTGGTTCTTCCGGAACCATGCTTCGGTTCCTTTGGAATGGAGTTTCGGGTCTTCGGAACCGTTTTCCGGTTCTTCTGGAATCCCGTTTTGGTTCTTTTGGAATCGAGCTTTGGTTCGACCGGAACCGTTTTTCAGTTATCTGGTTCCGGTTCCTCGGTTCTGTGCATAAGTTAAACGGGCTAAATCAATATGTCTTTATATATACTGCGAGTACAGTGCAAGGAGCGACTCTTAACGCTTTGATGGGTTAACTACCTCTGGATTAAGTGATTCAAGTGAAAGCTTTGCAGATTATGTTTCGACTGCATGCTTTCGTATTTTGGGCGACGATCAGAAGTCCACACACTGAGACTTGCTTAGCAGGTTGTCATAGCAATCAATAGCCTTTGTTTACGGCTACAAATTGTAAATTCATACTTAGGGTTTCTTGAGCAAGAAGATTAGTATTCTAAGAAAGTTCATCAACTCTTAAATAAAGTCACTAGAACCACTTACATGATTTGTATGGTATGTATCAAAAGTCCATAAATATTAGTTTTAGTCAGAGCAATTATAGTACGTACATCAGGTGTAGAAATACTTAAAACAAATGCAGCACTTACCACTAAATCAGGAATGATATGCTGTGTGAACAACCTTTCAACAACTGGCAACATTTTCTTAGTAAATAGCGCATTGTAATATTTAAAGATGGGATACAGATACACACGCAGACCACCCCAGTTGTTTTCCACTATTCTATGTACATTTTTATACAAACGTTTCATGTCGCAGTGCGATTCTTTGACGACATGCAAATAACCGTGAGTGCTTTCATCTAAAATGAAAATGAGATTACGAAATTTACAAAAAGTTGTACTAAGTGAATGTCAAAATTTATACGAATACACTTTAACTACCCACCTCTGGACATAAAGTATTCCAAGCGCGGTATATGATAGCCAACTTGCAGTATTTTCTTGAAAACAGAAATAAATAATTCCGGTAGCTCGTTAATGTATGGAAATCCAAAAAATTTGCCTTCATTTTCCAGCGCAAAATCACAAACCGGATCCATGTCTGGTGGATGCTACGAATGCAAAAGAAAAACCCATCTACTTAATTACGATTTTGAAATTCTTCGCCGTTAGGAATTAATAGAATGCTTACGATCTCAAAATCAATAGTGGGACGTTTGTAAAATAGATTGGCATCGTCCTCCTCATTGTGTGTATAGATTGAAGTCGTTTCATCTCTATCATCGGTGCGATCATCGAAATGCGCACCCACAACTGATATTATTAAAGTCATAAGCGGACGACGCTGGAGTTTCTTGTCATACATTTGATAGTGTTCAATTTCATTGCCTTCCTAAATTTTGCGAAAAGTTAGTGAAAATAATTAAACCTTAAACATGAAAATAAATCTTAGAGAGATATTAAAAGTTTAGAGATCCTTGCTTGTCCCTTCTTCACGGAGTCTTTCCCTATCAACTAAAAAATCAATGTCGAGCATTTTCAGCCTCCGTATGAAGGAGATCAAGATGCAAGCAAGGGCAATCTCAGCCAGAAATTCGATTGATACCGCAAACCTAAACATACACTTGCCGGAAGCAGAGTCACCATCCCAGACAGTTTAGAAGACACTTCTACGAACACAGAGACAAGATGCAGACCTTCTTCGATAAACAACTCGGCTCACGACAATGGTGGCTTAAATCCATGTTTAAGTGTGCCTCCACTCACGGAAGCGGCCCTCTAACCTAACCACTGAGCCTGGCGTTATACAGACAGCTTATTACGTCGAGGACGAGCTGGCCACCTGGTTTAGAGATGGGATGGGGTTGTTGGGTATTAATTTAAATTTCAATTTGTATGTAGCTAGAATGTAGAGCCAAACTATAGCCGTCGAAGAAGGTGGAAAAGTTTGCCTCCTAGCGACTATGCTCTTTGCTCTAGCTACCACTGACAGCTATGCAATGAATATTAGAGACGTATTCAGCGATAAAGAATCATCACCTAATAAAAAACACCCTCCCTGAATACTGTAATTGGAGCTTAACACCTACAATCACACCTTCAGCAAACTCGAGAGACCCGCGGAGCTTTAGGAAAACTTACAAAGCTACTGTACCAGGCTAAACTTCCACTTATCCAAACTCAAAACTGACATAACCAATATATATACATATGGCCAGCCTGTGTTGGTACCCCACACTACAGAAATCACCTATCCTCTACCTCTTAATCCCAATTAGCGAACACAGCTTCCCTTTTCGTCCAATCTCGTCGAAAAGGCAGTTATTCCTAGGCGTATTTTTGGTTGACAACAAAGATACCAAGATACCAAGAGAATTTAGGCATGGCCGGAGTAAGGCTCTTCCCTTTGTATTTTATCTTACTAAGAGGCTTACTTCATATCTTTTCAGGTTCGTGTAGAGCACAGAGATACTCCTTGATATCAAGCCTTCCAAGTGATGAGACATTAGCGCATGTACACAATTGAATAGCACAGCCGCACGTCCGCCACATTTCTGATTCATGGGTATCAAGTCCTTCCAGGTGCGACGCATAACGTCAACCAAATCAGCGCAGCGAGGTAGCCAGTCGTTCATGAGTAACTACATGTTGGTAAGATGAAAGTTTTACAAGATTTAATTTTAGATATATTAATGTATATATTAAAGTTTTGTACACACATCTCGTATAACAGCACAACTGTCATCAACGAAAGTTATCAATTCATCAGCCGTCATAGGTTGATCGCGCAAGAAGATCTTCGAAACATCTATAACCACTAGATCATTGTATCTGTAAGTAGAAGTACATTCAAATGATTAGTAATAATTTCTACCTCAACCCAAAGGACAAGCAGTCAGTAAAATTGCCCCCAATTTTAACCAACAGATGCTTGAATACAAAAAAATGTCATAACGAAGTTCAGCCAAAGGACTTTTTTTCGAAAGTTATGAAAAATTCAAAATTTCACAATTTCCGCAAGTAAATTTTTTGCATATCTCAAAAACTATTATAGTTGCAAAAACGGTTCTAGCCTCGTTGCAAATGATGTTCTTAGGGTTAAAAAAATATATATTTAAAAAAATTTACAAATAAAAAAATTTACAAAATTTTGAAATAAAAAAAAATCGTAAAAATAAAAACATAAAAAAAATATTTGGACATTTTTTTGTTTATGTAATACTTCCTGACCTCCAAGGATCCTAAAACTTTCAAGAAGGTGTTTCTTAAGATATAAATTTTTGAACTTTTAAAAAATTTTTTATGTACACTAAATAAAGTTATGTTAAACTTTAATTTAATTATAATAAAATCAATTTTTTATCTAGAGTTTGCAATACAATTTTTTTCTCAAAATTCAAAAATTCTTATCTCTAAAAAGGCATAGAAAATTTCAGGATCTTTTAAGATCATTTAGAGGTATTGTATTAAAATTAATATTAAATTTGGCCAAAAATTGATACAAGCTTTCGGGTTTACGATTTTTTGGAATCCTAAAGGTCTCGTTTTAAAAACTATATTGTGAGCTTTAAGGAAAAAATATAAAAAATGGCGAAAAATAAAAAAAATACAGAGTTTTGAAAACACAACAGTTTTGGCAACCTTTTTTTTATCGATACAAATCTTCCAGCTGATCTGAAAAGATCATGAAATTTTAATTTTTTTAATTTTGAAAGAAAATGTATATATTTTTTACTAACTAAATAAAGTTATGTTCAACAATTTTTATTTAATTTCAATTTATTTTTAATTTAGCGTTTGCAATAAACATTTTTTTTCGCACTTCAAAGATTCACACTAAAAATATTAATTAAAATATTGTATAAAAAAAATGTATATAAGATTTTGCTTTTATAATTTTTTAAATTAAAAAGTTCTGTTTTTTTTTAGTTATTTTTTGGTGTAATAAATCATATTAAAAAATTTTTATTAAGTTTGTAATATTTTTTTTCGAATTTTTTAAAAATATATTTAGTTTTATAGCCCCATATATCACATTTAAAATGTGATCAGACCAATTTTTTACCTATGCAATTACATTTTTTTTCCTTTGGCAGACTACCTTATGCATACAAGCATAAATAGTACACATAACCTTAAAGTTTGAAGAAGAAGTCTTCGTGTCGTACTTACAACTGATGCCAAAGCTGATTGAGTGCTCTTATAATTGGATGTGATATCATCAAAAGTTGGTCGATGCGATTTCGTGCTAACTGCACATTCACTTTATAAGGCACTGGACCGCGTATGAGTAATTGTGGAAAATCTGGCGGCTCCATTTCCAATTGTAAGCGTTTGCGCTCCAAAGGCGATCTAAATGAAAAAAGCGAAAAGAGAAAACAGAAACACAAAAAAAAACATAAAATAAGTAAAATACAAGAAAAGTGTCGAATCTGAATTAGTGGTTGATTAAAGCAGTGGCTAGCTCTGCTGGTGTCGTCAGTTGCCAAGCGCAAATGGCCAACATTAAAAGTTTTCACATTGAGCTACCCAACTCATTGGCCACTTGGCTTAAGTCCCAATTTCGCCACTAAGATTAGATGTTTGTAAATGAAGCCGCGTGCATGCATGCACACATACACACATACACATACACATGCACATACAAACTGATTTCATCCTTCCATATGGCTTTTCTTGCTAACGTGTCGACACTGTTTAATGAACTAGTTTATAACTAATTTCGCTTATCGCATATATACATACATATGTATATCCTTTCTCATTGGCACGTACCATAGATATGTATGTATGTATGTACTTGCATAAAAGCACTCCTTCCCAGTTACTTACTTAAGTAGATAACGTAGAAAGCCACGTTTCACGTAATACCGAAAATCCTCTTGAAGATCTATGATGCATGATATAATTAAGACGGCGACAGTAGCATTAATTTGCCGCTCGCCATTGAAGAGATAATCCAACAGCATGACCTCGGGATAAATTTCTGGCCAAAGTTTCTGTTCGTAAAAGGACAGATTGTAGTCGCAGGTATTAGGAATTGATGTGAGTGAGTAGAGTGCATACAAAAAGTGGTGAATGGAGGAAATTTTAAATAAGTGAATGTGAGTATAAATGTGTAATTATGTAAAAGTTGTTTGCATAAGTGCATACACGCAAGGATTAATATTAAAATTAATGAAAAATTGTGGTTGATTGCAGATAGCTCGGTCGAACCATATGCATTTGGCAATTAATTTAGACACTCTGATTTTGATACCAAGTATTTTCCTTTTAGTTCTATACCTAACTAATATGCGCGAAGCCTGGACATTCATGCAAGAAGTGCTGAACACTTTATTCGCTGTTTTCTAGCTGAAATCTGCAGCAAGCTCTATTATAGGAAAGTAATCTACTATTCTGAATATTCTCTGATTATTAAGCAAGTCGGAGGTCTTTGTCATGTCCTAGTTGGCTGCTGCGGAAAGTCCTACAAGAAGAAGGTCCTATTTTTGCGCATTATTAGCTGCTCCTAATTTAACGAATACTGCATTTGGTCTGTTAAGCAGGTCGGATGTTTCTTGTTCCCTGATATTTTATCCGTTCCAATTCTCACCCACTTCCCATTGTCTTTGTCAAATAGATTTTTGTTTTTTTGCCGTCGTATAATAGTATAGAACCTTAATCGACTGTGGACAAAAATCGCAATTTTTTCGGATGGTTAGATAGCGAAAGAGCAATTGGCTCTGTGACATTTACTTTCAGCCTAGTAAAAATTCTATAGGACATATCATGGCGATCTGGGTTGTTGAACTATAGTCAAGGCAACGAAATGGCTGGAGGAACGGATGGGCCCTAAACATGTCAGGGGATAAAAAGATTTTTAAGCCTGGGTCTTGGACATTGATACAGGCAGAATTGGACTGAATCAAAACATTTCCTGTCATCGTTGTAACTCACGGGAAGCGGAAGAATATGTAGAGCGTCTCCTCTGCGGTTATCCTGTCCTTTGTAGCGACAGAATGAAGTTTCTGAACATGTCTTACTTTGCTGGCCTAACATAATTCAGACACAGAAACCCACTGAGTTTACTCAAGTTCTTAAACTCCATTGACGAAGGTTTCGTACGTTAGATCAGGTTAGTTTGGCTGACATGTGAGATCTCACACAAACAATCATTTTGTGCCGCGTATTACCAAGAGGACTGGGCTTAAACCTTGATCGTAATGTACAGTGAAAAGAAAAAACAGACCCAACATAGCGGAGGCCTTAACTTCCGAAATATGCATCCGAAGCAATTCCATCCTTAGAGAATTGAGGGTGGGGTGAAAACACGGCCGGCATCACAAAGATAAACAGTAGGAAAGGCAACATTGGTAGCGACAATGATTTGTATGACTAAAATGAACTAAGAATTTGAGGGCAGTGAAACTTTTCTAATAAATGGATCAAATATACAAACTACACTGAGTCACTAAAAATGGTATGGTGTTTACAATGTCAGCTTGAAATTGAGTTCGCTTTGTTTGAAATGTCTTTCTGTTTACAGTATCGGCTTCGAATGAAACTTAGCATTTTGAATGACATATACAGTGACTCAAAAAAGTGACAATGTGTTATTTTTGTTGAAATATTCACTATATCTTTCAATAAAATTTTTTTGTTATTCTTCTACAAAAAAAATGCTTTAATAAAAACATATAAATATAAATTTAAAACTTTATGCCAAATTTATTTTCATTAAAAATTTAAACTTTTTAATATGGATCTCTAGAACATTTGTGCGTATCCAGTTATATAGCCCATACAATTTCAGTCTAATGAAGTGCAGGCCTCAGCCGGCATAAATCGCATTGATTTTTAATATTTTTTATTTTTTTTTTAATGAGTGCTCGTGTGGTTTTTTCCATAACAAGTGCAATTTACAGCATCAAAAAAAAATAATTAAACCACTTGAATCTTGCACTTAATTTCACTGAAATTGTATGGGCTATAAAACTGCACATTCAAAAACATTTTAAACATTCAAATTGTAAACTTTGAAATTTTGATGCAAATTTTTTAAATTTTCATAAATTTTATATAAATTCGGAATTTTTTATTTATTTTTATAAAAAAATTTAAAATGAAAAACATTGTGAATAATTAAAAAATACTAAACACATGGTCACTTGTTTAAGTCACTGTAAATAAAAAACGTTTTCGAACATCCAAGTACAACTAGAACTTCGCCCCGTGCTGTTATGTGAATAGAACATTAAAATAAAGTACTATGAATTTAAGACCAGCATTGTAAACGCTCCTTAATTGTTGTATAACTAGTAAGCACGTTTGATACAAAAACATGAGCAGACAACTTAAATATCAACATTGTTGTGAGTTCATAAAAATTTCTTAGTACATAGAATAAACAAATTTACACACACTTACAAACATACATTATTTTACTGTTATTAACAATGTGTTAGCTTACCTCCTCTCGCAGTATAAACTTATGAATTTCCTGCAAAAATGAGATGCGCGGATCGATTTTCGTCCAAACTTTCTTAATCAAGTGCGATGGAAACGTTTCCAAACTCAAAGCGCTGACCTAAAAAAAAAATAATAAAAAATAATACAAAATACGATGATAATAAAATTTTAAGGGAAAAAGTTTGATTAAGTAGTGTTAGAGGATTGATGAGCTCATGTACGTAAGTACATATTGGATTTTGAAAAAAAGGCAAATGCACAAAATTGAAATTGGGGATGCTATTTTATGTGTAGAAATCTGTTTTCTATAAAAAGA